AAAAAAAAAAAAAAAAAAAAAAAAAAAAAAAGGATTATTTCATTAAAAAAAAATGTGATTAAGCAAAAAAAAAAAAAAAGAATGTTAAATTTATGCGTCGTTGAACAGGTAAAATGAAATTTTTGTGTAGTTTTTTGCTATTCCATTTTTTATTTTGTTTTAGTTTTGTTCAATTTTTTTGTTAGCTTATTGATCTGTAAAAAAACAGAAAAAAAAAAAGTTTAACTTAACAGTTTTTCTCTTTCAATAATTTTACGAAACTAAATAAATGCATTTATGCTTTGAAGAAAACACAAATTTAAATTTTTTTTTTTTTCTGAACTAATTTTAGTTTTTGTACGTTTTTTTTTTTTCACTGAATATTTGTAATAACGTAATATTGTGTTAAAATGATGTTCACAGCAGTAAAGCATCCTCAAAAGTTCCTTCATATATCGGTGTTATAAGCTAAAAAAAGAGCTGAAAATGAAAATGATAAGTAATTGTGAATGTTTCTTATTGCTCCTTTTGTGATTTTTTTTCTATTTTTTTCCCTCTATCTTTGTTGTTGCTTCTGCTTTTGTTTTTGCATTCATTTTCTATGTTTTATCACTATGACACTTCAAAACGGAAGCCATAAAAGTGTGAGGAGCTTCAAAAGAAAACAACATATTTTTTGCTCTGAAATACTAAATTTGTTTGCAAATGTTATGGCTGTTTATTAACTGTCTTCACTCTAATTTTCACACTTATTTTGTCGTATCTGATTATATTAAACTTCAAAAAAAATTTTTTTCATTTAAATTAATAATAATGATTTTTTTTTTTGTTGTCATTATTTGCTTATAAAATTCATAGATTTGCATGTAATAATAATTTTTTCTCTTTTCTTTAACTTTTTTTTAATGTTTTACGCCATCAAAAATAACCATCGTCAATGTTTCTAAGCACTTTATTTTTCCTCTGTTGTCAGTAATATTTTTTAACAACAGATTCCAGTCAGCACTTCAAACCCTTAGTCACTTTTTTAAATACCATCCAGATAAAAACGTTTCATAAACCAATAATGTATCAACTTTTTGTAATAACTGCTACCCTTTTTGTTTCTCATTTTTAATAATTTCTGCCCTTTACAGTTGCACCTTTTATATTTCCTTTCTTTGTATTCAATTTCCCTTTTACCTTCATACATTTTTGTATTTGTCTAAACTGCAACATTTTGTAGTGCTGAATAACAATTTTTTTCGCTTTAATAAAAAGAAGAAAAAAAAACTCTTCAAGATTATGTTGCTCAGAACACTCAAATTTTTAGAAATAACAGAAAATTTGAATGACTCTCATTACATATCACTAGTAATCCTAAAATAAAAATCTACTGAAAGATTTTGGATAAAAACTTAGAAGTTTCAACGATAACTGCATTAAATAAAAAAGTTTAAAATAAATTCAAGAAGAAGAAAATCAATTTTTTGATGGATTTATGACACCGTTTGACAATTTTCGAGCACATTTGTCTTTATAGGACTTCATTGAAACTATTAGCAAAACGTAACTTCTAGATACTAAACTTGGATCTAAAAGTAGTCATTGAATATGAAGAAGCAGATCGAATGTTTTTTCTGACCGGTTAGTTGACCAAAAGACAGCAACAGTCACGATAACGACAGTGATCAGTTAATCATAAGAATGCTAAAACATTTCTGTTGCAGAA